AGGCGTCGGTGGCCAACGTGTGGCATCCCAGCAGTGTGAGTGCTGCTGATAGTGAGTCTGTTTCTGCGCCAAGTTTCGCATTCGTGATTTGCCCGCGCCCAGCTCGCGGGCAAGTGTGGGCGCCATTCCCCTCATCTTAGGAACGAAATTCGCATCCCAACAGTTCGGCGCGGTCCATATGAGCAGATATATAATCGTGAATAGAACTCTTCACTTGCACAGTTCACGAGTGCTTCCTCGCTCTCGCCCATCTCACCTTGCTCTTCATTTGGAGCGTCGGATCGCGTGCGGCATCATCAGTCATCTCATCATCGTATGTCAGCAAATGTAGCGATGGGCGGACGGCGGAGCACCACCCCTATCAAGGGTCCAATTGTGGGGCTTGCGGAAATCGAGCTCATCGCAGGAAAGAGTACTGCAAGTGACCAGAGAACCCTGCGGTAAGCGCGCATGCGGCAAAGAGGCAGAGGCATGAAAAAACCAAAAAGCGTGAAGCCGCTGAGTCGTCCTTGCATGGCGGAGACACACGTGTGCTCTACCGCTCCTGTACCCGTAGACAAGCCAACCCTGCATGATGGGGACGCAGTCAGAAATGCACGGCATCGAACGGGTAACCCAGCAAGCAGCCTTCTGCAGGCAAACGGAAGATATGCCCGAAGAAGCTGGCTGGAGAAGCTGCAGCATTTCATTCTGATTGGAGCATCAGGCCGCGCATGCATGCAGAGGTCTGGGGATCGCGGCTGCACCCATCAGGCGCCGAACGGCGGACGGGTGGCCCCAGCTTCCTTGGCTGCAGCGGCATCACCAGCACAGATATAAGCACAGAGCTTCTCATAAAGTCAGGCTGTGACAAAGTCAACCATCGCCAAACAGGCGCTTTGAGCAGAAAGGCAAGTCGTCGTCCTCGTCAAGTCGTGCAAAGCAAGAAGGAGACGTGCGGGCGCGATGGCAAAGGAGCGGTGCATTAAGCAGCGCCGATGCGCCAGGCCCGTCACGACCAAAGCCCCTTGCGCTCAGCCGCGTTCGAGACCCACATATCGCTTGATGAGTCAGTGAACACATGCTGTCGACGTTCAAACACACACAAGTAAAGCTCGTTTTTCGCCTCTGCGTCCTGTCTTGGGAGCGCGAGCTTTGCTGAATTCACGTTCATCATCTCATCTTCGTGGGGCTCCTTGCTGCGTGACAAACCCAGGAGTCAAAATAAAACCTCGACCCAAAAGTTGGACCGTCTGATCATGCTACGGAGGGCCTGATCACCGATCGGGCCAATCACATCATCCATCCGGCCAATTGGACGATCATCGTGCAATCGTGAGCTGTTGCACAAATCTGTGATATGGTAGCACTTTCAGGGTTAGATCCGGTGGACAAACACCCCAACTTGAGCTTCGTGGAGCTTAGTCTCAGCGGCTGTCCAGATTCCGCCGTGAGCTGCCCACACAATTGGTTTGCTGGTGCCAAGGGAGCGCCCACCTTGCAGGCCGACCAACACCACGACTCAGAGAAACTTTACAGGCAGGCGAGCGAAATGTCCCAGAGTGCAGGCCAAGCAGAGCAAAGGCACATTTGGTTTCGCTTTCAAAGCCTGTCGTGCGTGCTCATCGACACGGTTACTGCTGCCTCACGCGCACAAGGTGAAGCTTGATCTCTTCTTGAGCATTGCCCACCTCGGCCGTAGATACACGTGTGATTTAAGATCAGAGCTGGAATCACCAAGCTCCTCGACGAGCTGCAACAGCGCCCTGGAGAGTGCTGAAGCACGACCTGGACACAGCGACCTGCATCCAGAACCATCACACCAGGTCGTGGAATTCTTCCGGATAAGGAGTTGGGCTACGGGCAATTTTGGACGGCCCGTCGGCACGTTTTCCCTTGTCAAGACTGAATCTGACTCTTTTTCCCTCTCCAGACGAGCCTGAAGGTTTCAGAGCGGACTTGAGACCTGTGAACGAATTGTACAGAGGAGATCGTCAGTCGTTACTCTCTCGGCTCGTCCACGCAGCTAGAGATCGTCACTTGGTAGCTCAGCTGGCGACTAAGGGCAATGCCTACCTTTTGATCCCGTCTCCGTCCTGCCTCCCTTTGGACCAGCGTACAAGATTTGGTCCTGCTTCGTCTTTGAGAGAGCGAACCACGGCACACTACCGAGCGGTTGATCGACAGCGGTGGTGTCACCAGTGTGAGCATGGTGCGCAGCACTGCTCGAGCTACTGCCCAAGATCTTTTTTTGTCTGGAGGGAGAGAGGTTCTGCCATGCCGTGCCGCGCAGGGGCATGTCCACTTGCGCCATGTCTGTCACATGATGCCGGGGCGGCGAGAGAGGACCAGTGTCGCGACCGTATCCAATCCCGGTGTGATGTTGCGACACGCTGTGCTGTCCTGCGGATTCAGCGGCTTCGATCCCATGGCACCCTTGCCCAATGCACGTGAGCTGTATATACACGGGAAGCGGTAAGTGACTCTTGTAGCGAATGGTCTCCGCCCAGCGTCGCTTTCGAAAAGCGTGCCACGCACCTTCTTCAGAAAACCCGAGCCAAAACCTCTCGACGCGAGCTGGCGTACGATCTGACCAGCATCAGCAACGTGACGCGCATTGAGCCGTGGATCAGCAGGCACTAGCGGACGTGGCTCGGCGTTCCTCAGGTGCCTAGTCGGCGAGAGGATAGTTCCTGGAGGCAGACGATTGTCGCCCAGGTAGTTGGGATTCGTATAGTGTGGATTCTGCCTTTCCATCTGGTTAAACATGTTTGTACCAACGATGCTTTGAGACTGCGGCTGAATCGAACGGATCGGAGTCGCCACTGGGGATGTTGATGAGGATCTACAGAAGCCAAAGCAACTAAACTGAGCAGCACGGCATGCGAGGAAAAGAGAGCATGGGCGCATCATGTATTAGCATTCGGACTACGATTGGCCCACTACGAGAGTGTACCGCAAGAGCGTACCTTTTTCAGAAGACTACCAAGTCCACGTCGGAAGTATCTAGGCTAAATGAGAGGAACAGGGCCTTCAGATATTCGTCGCCTAGCTCCCAGCTTTTCTGGCTCGCACACTCACCCTATCGGGGATCGAACGAGGAAGCAGCAAGGCATCCCTTGCGGTACTATCCAAAAGGCTCGGCTCCGCTGCTACGCAAATCGCTGCCAGAGGCAATAGGAAAAGAAAGCGAATTTGGCCGCTAGCCAACATGACGACGTGGACGGGGCTGCACCGAGCCGCAGAGTATCAGCTGAAATCCGAATGGCAGTGAATCCCAGATAGCAAGATGAGAAGAGAGATGCGTGGCAGGGAAGCTGCAATGCGCACCGCACCGTATCGATTGGCTCGCACACAAACGAGCTCGACGGGGAAGACCAGCTTCGAGAGAAAGTTAGGGATCAGTGTCGCAAGGCGAGAGGCGGGCAAATTTTGGGAGCTTGCTCTTAAGCTGTCGGTGACGCCATGGAAAGTGTGGCGAGAGCGGGTTTCTATGTGCTTTGCCACAGGACTCGCCACCGAGCTCAACGCACTGCGGGATACCTGTGAGTATTGCGAACCTACCTGCCCGAGACCATCCACGAACACGTCTGCGGGTCCGTAGCACAGCCACCGGTAGCGATCATGCCATTGGCGGTAGCAAAAACTCATCAATGGGCACATAAGCAGGTGCGGGAACACGAGCGCTCCGAACGGCAAAAGTGTGGCGGTATCATGACGAAGGAGTCCGAGCCGAAGACTCTGGCGCTGAGATTGGCGTGCGCCGACCGCCGATTCGCAAATTAGGCAGCCAGCAGCTTCTCAATTTGAGGCGCGATGCTGCTCGGCTTAGCAGTGGGAGAGTACCGCTCGACGACCTTGCCCTCCTTGTTGATCAGGAACTCTGCACCGATGAAGCGCGGGCTTTGTCAATGTCGAAGCGCAGCGCAGCGGGGGTTGCTGGTTCTGACTCACTGGTGAAGTTCCACTTGATGCCCTGGGTGCCGAGGAGGCCAGACTTCTCACTCTTGAGATACTTGAAAACCTCGTTGGTGTTGGCGCCGTTCACATCCGACTTGGCCATGATGTCAAAGGAGACGCCGTAGTTCTGAAAGGTGGATCAGGCGTGTAGAGAGGTTGGAACTTCAGCACTGTGCAGCGCAAAAGGTTAGGAAGCGGCGATGCTTTACGGAGCATGCCGCGCAGAGAGAGGTTCCCGGCAATCCGCAACACCGCCACTCAGCACGCCCGCGCACCACACCTTGGCTTTGAAGCAGCGACTCAGCACCTGCGTCACAATGATGCTCGGCGCTTTCGCTTGCCACAAGCGCGCCCGTTGCATCACCTCAGCGCGCTCTGCGTTTGTCGATCGGAAACTCGCTCTCTCCAATGTCAGAGGCTAGACCCGAAGTCCTCCCGTGTCGAAGCTTGAGCTTGGCATCTCAGCTCTCCACATCTGTGCGCTTGTACCAGCGCGCACCGCCTTTCTCCTGGCTTTCTTACTACTACGTATGCGGCATCTCCATCTCTGGCTTATCCTTGTCTGTTCGACGTCGCATCGCAACGCTCACCTTGACACAAAATGCGCCAATACCCTCGTCATCGGCTGGATCTTGATTCGCGAATTGATTGCAAGGGACTGAAGGGCAGCGAGGCAAATTCAGATCGTAAGCGTCAGGCTGTTCGGCGCTGCCAGGCTTCGTTGCTTCCTCATAAGCACTCACAGCCAATGATGCGCAAACCCTGGTCCTTGTACTTCTTGTTCAAGTCTTCGAGTTCTTCGACTGCCGATTTGATGTGCAAGAGTGTCAGCCACGTGGCGTTCGTAGTGTATCGCCGACGGATGTTGGGACCTGCACCAGTCCTCGCCAGGAAGCACTCAGATGATAAAGCAGCGCGCTTTGTCAGGTGTCTGAGCATCCTGGACGCTGCTTGACCTCCAACGTGCCGAAAGCTCCGCGGAATGATGGCTCAATGCGATCCGCGATCGCCACCTCTTGTCGTCTGCACGTCTCCATCCCGCGTTCCTGCCCTGGCTACGACACTCGACCGAAGGGCTGCTGAAAGACATTCTGCCCACTCACACTGAGGTGTGAAGCCGCACTTGCTAGCAGTGTTCACAATCAGGACGACCTTGCCCTTCAGCTCGTTGAAGTCGAGAGCATCGCCCTTGGGCCTCTCTGCTTTGAGATCGTAAAAGCTGACCATGATGTTGGCGGACTATGGGTTTCTGTCGAGATGATGTTCGCAGTGCCACTTGTGCAGCAGATCAAGACACGAGATTTAGTGCTGGTGCTGGTGGTCCGGAAGCAGGTGGGGCAGTTTGCTGTCAGATCTAATCGTAATGACGACGTTTGTGGGCTGAGAAAGAGATGAGCATGCAGCCTGTGAGTCAATGAGTCAAATTTCGTGTGATTCTGCTTTCAATGAGAATCGAGCAGCAGATGAGGTGGGTGGCTTTAGCGTACAAATACCGCGTGAACCAGAATCGGCTGATAATATGACCGTTGGTAGCCGGAAGCCGCACTGTGACTGCATCCCGCCGCCAGGCCGCCAGGCCTCCTCGCTCTGCTGCAGTCAAGTCAATAAGAGTCTACTGTAGATGTGCATAGGTGGATGCGCGCGCGGGCAGCGTATCAGCAGCGCGGTGAGAGCGTGACATGTATATAGAAGACACGGCGTGATCGGTCTGTTCGAGGCCCATGCAGCCGGCGGCTCAACCTGTGCACTCGAAACTGGTGTCCGGTACAGCACTCAGACTGTGTACAGTAGGTGTGGGTGTCATGCTTGACCGATAGCGAGGCATCTGCTCGATCTTAACGATCACAAACGATGTCCGCTGGGCCTCTGTCGGGCGCGGCCAAGATGTAGGAGCAAAAGACTGGCTGCAGTAGGTCGAAAAGAGTTGCGTGCGGTATCCGATCTGCCCGGCCACGCTCCGCGGTCCACCGCCCCTCCGACCTGGATGGTTTGGTGTGGAGAATCGCCAACACGCAACAGATGATGTCGACTTTCAATTCCTGGTCAAGATTCAATCTCACCAGACATTGGGTTCCACAAGCGGCGCATATGTTCACCATTGTGATTGTACACCCTGCGCCGTCACACGGCACACGGCCCATCATGCGCGGAGCCGATGTTGTTCGTGGAGCGCGAAAAGATGCGTCGAGTGCACGTGACTGCTCGACTGGCCGTCTGTTTGTGGAAGAGCCTAATGTTGAATCTTGATCTGTTTCGGACCCGGTCTCTGACCCACCTCCTGCCGATCGGTGCAGGCCAGTGGGGCAATCCTGGCAATAGGCGGCGCCGGCCCAAAGTCCTTCGGTCACGGCGCGCACACTGGGAAGGGCACGGTCTCGCGACGACCACAAGTCAAGTCCATTGATTGCAGCAAAGAGTGGTGTGCAGGCATTCAGAAACAAAGCAGGGTGTCGAGCACGGTCAGGTCTGCTTGCAAAGGTAAGCAAGCCAGTATACGACTGATTCGCTTCAGCCCGTGGTCTGATTCAGTTGCTTTTTGAGACTTTCTGCCAAAGCGTCGAGCGTGTCAATCTTTGTTTGGTGCACGTTCAGCTTCGTCAGCAAGTACTCCATCCTCCTCCTCGTCGCGCCACTTCCGGCGCTGCCTAGCGCCGACAGTTCGGTCAACTCCTTCTCGACGTCGCGAACTAGCTTCTCAGTGCTGTTTGTTGCAAAGCAAAAATAGGCGTGAGATGGCTGGCAGCGTAAGCTCAAGCGAGCTCCGCAGCTACAGGCACTCACCTTTCAATGCCTTCGTTGGCGCTGAGCAATCGCTGGGTGTTCGCAAAGACTTCCTCTGAGACGAGCCTACGCATAGCCTCTCGCAACACCGGCCTGCCTGCTCGAATACTTGATGGTCTACCGTCCGCATGCTTGACAGAGATGATCTCAGCTTGCTCCAGAGCCTTGACAGCAGCCTCGTCGCCCTTGAAAGCGTCATGCAAGAGACCGTAATATGCAAGCTGGAGCATCGAGGAGCTGGTGAGCGAAAGAGTCATGGCGATACCAAGATGCCGATGTAATCGACTCACCTCGTCTCCCTTAGAGAGCTGCTCAACGATGGTCCATGCTTGACCTCGCTTCCAGGGCAAAGACTTGGCATCTTCCAAGTCATCCCCAAACGCGTTCTTCCGAAGCTCAACAACTGTTCGCGTGACAATGTCCTCGACTATTGCGATCATGGAGTGTGCCTGAATCAGCGTTGGGAACAGACGTCTATATTTCTCAGCGCGTGCTCACCTGCGTCCGGAACATTCTGACCAAGTCCAAGCTTTTCGGTAAGAGCTTCGAGATCCTGCATCCGTCCGCCCAACACATCGATGGACCGCACGGTCGCCTGATCTAGCTCCGCGCCTCTGACAGCGGGCGAATAGCCCGGTGTGTCCGGAGCAGGACTAGGAGTGGCAAGCTGCAGAGCTTCGAGCTTCTTGCGAACGTACTCTTGCGCTCTTTCTTGGTCTGCATCCGCCAAAACCACAGATTGGAATGGGACATTCGGCAAGGCGCGCCCCAATGTCTTGCCTTGCGCGACGGGGTTGTCGCTGACGAAGATGACGTGAGCAATGTGGGACTGGGACGCAAGGCATGCACGAGTCAATGATCGAGCGCAAAAGAAGTCTTTCGAGCACCGAAGGATTGACGTGACGTACCTGCGTCAACTCCGCGCTCCAAGCAGCAAGCACATCCCACACCATCTCGTTCTTGAGTCCCTTGTGGCAGAAGCCGTCAAGAACGATCTAGCGATGCAGAGCTCGGACAGTCAGCAGTGGTGTCTATCTGCGGAGACATTCGGCAGCCACTCACTACAGGAGCATCAAACTCGCCGTCCGAGGATGCGGTCTGCTGCACTTTGCTCTGCTCGTCCGGTGACACTTTCTTGGCCAATCGACGTTTCTCTTCCTTTGCTTTAGCTTTTTGTTTGTTCGAGTTGGTGTGCATCAAAGCTGCTGTAGCCGTCTCCAAGACCTGCCTCAGCTGTGCATCCACAGGCGTGGCAAAGATGGGTTCCTTGCTGCCTATGAGACCCTGTGCTCCGATATCGATCAGGTTGTTTACGGAGCTGATCCAGCTGAAGACTGGCCAATAGCCCAGCTCGTTTGCTAGAGCCCCTATCAGGGCCGAGTCCGTCTTTGCCGCCCTGGCAATAGCTTCGCAGTTGATCCGCAAGTGCGATACCTCCTTCGTAAGCACACCGTCCAGCAATTGATGCTTGCCCGACCCTCGAGGACCTGCGATAGTGATAAATGTCGAAGGAGTCTCTCGCAGCCAGCCTCTGATCTCTTCGACCGACTTGCCACGTTCCCACCACGCGTTACCACCTTCCGCACCTTCGCAGCGATTGAATAGCTCGAGAGTATTGGTCTTCAACCACGTGTATAGCCGATAGTCTTCCAATCGGAACGACCCGTCCAGTTCCCGCTCAACGAAAAATTCCCTGACAGGGTTGAAGACGGAGTACGTGATCGTGCCAAGTGTAAGCGCGAGGAAAGGTAGCACGATACGCGGATGACTAGAAATCCATTCCCACGCCTTGTGAGCGCGGAATGCGGGCTGATAATTGATGATCAGCTTCGCCCCGCTGCTCAAAGTTGCTCCATGTGCGCAATTCCTAGCGCTCGTTGCTCCTCTCATGGTCGAGAAGCCAGCAATGGCGGATCCCTCTTTCTTGTCGACTTTGAGGCTGAGCAGCCTTCCGTAGGGTCTCAACGTCTCCCAGAGTGTCTGCTCGTCGGGGGCCGGCCCGCCTTCAAACTCGATGCGGATCTGACGCGCCGGAAATCGAGCGAGATCCTCCCTCCAAGGCTGACCTCGTACCACATGGACGGAAGGTGGCCGCGCCCAAGAAGCCACGAGTAGCATGCTGGGAGCGTACACTGACTTGACTCCCTGCTTGAGTCGCGTCTCTATGATGTTCAGCACTTTTGCCTCATCTTCGCCAGACGCCTTGTACTTGAAGCTGAGAAAAGCTCCTCCATCTTTTGCTCTTCATAGACCGGTCCAGGCGGGAAAGGAGTGTCAATCTATAATCCAGCAAAATCTTGAGTACAAGCTCTCGATACATCCTCCCAGCTCACCTAGACTCGACGCCGACAATGCTGAAGGCGTAGCCCACTTCCTCAGAAGCAGGCAGACTGTTCTGCAGTCTTTGTAGTAGCGCCTCTCCTTGGACGCTGACCAAATATCGCCGTGGGTCCGTGACGTTGAGTTCGATTGGGAACATGGTATCAAAGTACAAGAAGCCCAGCCGCTCGTCGGGTTCGAGCTTGAGATCTAGAGGCACCAGAGGATAGGAGGACGTTTGCTCGATCAGGGCAGAGGGCAGTGTGACTGTGCCGTCCGCTCCGACTGACGGCGAGGAAGAACTGGCCAGGCCTCTCGCAGGTGTCGCAGTGCGAGTCGAGAGCACAGATCTCAAAGGGCCTGCCGAGATGATGGAGAGTCCCAAAGCGGCGCCAATAGAGTACCCGCGCGGCCCGATCCTCGCGAGAGGCAGGTTCAAAGCCGGACCTTGACGCATCGCCGCGACCTCAGCAGAGAAGCCGTTCCGGCGAGCGAGGCGGGATGGTGTTGCCAGCATTGCGTGCCGACAATTTGACAACAGCGACCCGCGCTACCACATGCGAAGCGAGAGAGGATGAGAGGCGAGGTTGCGAAGGCATGTAGAGGTGCGAGTCTTCTGTACTCGAAGAGTCACAGTCACCGTCACGAGTCTTTACGAGGACGGTCACTCAACCAACGACTCCCACTCACAACAGTCACCAGTGTGGAGGCAACAGCAGCGGATCGAGGTGCACAGCAGCACGAGCGCAGACGGCCGGCCGGCCGCGCATCCGCTACACTCAAACGTGCAGACGTATTCGTGATTCTTTGTCAACGATTTTAATAGCTGCCTGCCAACTCGTAACTGTCCCTTTAATTTGTAAAGTCAGAGTGCCTCTATGTATATATATATATGGCCGCACATGCGGTGTGCAGCAGGTGCACAGCGGTGTGGCCTGCGATGCGCCAGCCGTGCCTACACATGCATACCGTACATGCAGCCACATTCACATGAGCTGCGCAGCAATCACAACCACGATTCCTGATCGATGACGCATGATCAGCCAGCGGGGCTTGACAATCGTGACTTCGACCTGTCCACCGCTTCCCTAGAAAGACATCAGCGCATCCATCCCTCATCCTTGATGCTCGCACCCGAGACGAGCGTCACTTTTCTCACCAAAGGTCATCGTTTGCGATCTCCACCGGCGTCGCAACTCTGAATCCGACCTCAGCCACACACCTCACCTCACCTCACTTCACCTTCCCCCAACTCGCCGGTCTGTCATGACGTTGCTGGTCGTCAAGCAACGCCGACGGTTTCCAAATGCGTCGTTCACCGTCGTGATCTCTCTCCTGCTATGCGTCGTGTCCAGCATACTTGGCTGTGCCGCCCTCGTAGCCAGTCCTACCTCAGAGCATGACGCGTCGAGCAGCAGCACAAGCTACAACTTGATCGACGTCTTGGCAGACTCCACCGAGCACACGCTGCTACTGCGCATGCTGCAGCGAACCAGGCTTCTTCCTACGCTCAACCGTCTGATGGAGTTCGACGATGGCCGAGGGCTGACGATCTTTGCACCGACTGACGAGGCTATCGAACGCAAGCGGGATGCTGAGCAAGCCAAACGATTGGCATCTGCGCACAGTCTCCATTTCCAAGCGCCAGAGCAGATGTACGAGGACGAGGATGGTGTAGAGCTGCTCAGTCCTGCTTGGGCATATCCACGCTCTGCAAAGAGTGTTTGGGAGTGGGCTGTCGATCTGGCGACGCACGACTCGGAGCAAGAGGGGCTCTCACCACCGCACCCAGCCATGAGCGGAGCCGAGCTGCATTTACCCGTCACTGGCTTTTCGGGCACGGGCCAAGCATGGTTGAAGGTCGACAACATTGAAGCTGCACTGCGTGCTCAGCTTCTCTACCACATGATCAACTATACGTTGCCTCTCGATGTGTCCGAGGGGGTTGTAGTGGCACGGGATGCTGCCACATTCGAGGACAACAAGGGTGCAGCACAAATGCTGGAGACACTTCATCGCCCCTCAAGCACCACACTACACACTCGACCTGGTACAGTGCCCCACCCGCCTTCCAGCCCCGGCTCAGAGGACAACGGTTGGCTGCTGGGCGGCGAGGGTCAGCGGTTGAGGATGGCTAAGCGGGCCGAAAAGGGAGAGCAGGACTCATTGTGGGTGGGCACCGACGTTACTGGAAAGGAGAGCGGTGCGAAAGTGTTCAATACAAATCGCAATAGCTCCGCTGGTGTCATATTCTCCATTGATGGTGTCCTCGAGCTTCCGCCAGATTTCGGTGAGCACTGCTCTTGATCAACTGCACCGCACCGAAACATCTGACTTTCAGTTTACTTTCGAATCAGAGACACTACTGTCCGCGCATCCTGCGCTTCAGCACCTCACGAATCTCAGCAGTGCTGCGCTGCTCAGCACTCTTTCCGAAGCACCTCACACCACCTTTTTCTTACCCAATGCTGCAGCTTTCGGCAAGCTCTCGGAGCTGGAGCGCACCTTTCTGACTGGCGCTACTGATCTTGCAGCGCAGGACCGGGTCAAGCTGATCGGCTGGCACATGAGCGGCATAGGTGTGGGCGAAGGTCGGATTGGGTACGCTGAACGACTTAGGAAGTCCGGGACGAACAGTGAGTGATGCGAAAACAGTCATCTGTAGCGCCAGTGCCCAGTCAATTCTAATGTGCGTCAGTACTTCGTACTTCAGTCACGACCATCCTAGGCGGGCAAGTACCCGTCAGCACGGCGAGCAATGGAACCGTCACGGTCGGAAATGCAACACTAGTCGAAGAAGACATCCTAATCGAGAATGGTGAGTTCCAATGCGTGACTTCCGCAGATGGCGACGATGTTATCCAGCCTGCTCCACTGCCTGACACCGCTTCGGACGCCAGGTGTCGTGCACATCGTGGATGATCTGCTGCTGCCAGGAGGAACATTTGGCATGAATATCGAACGCACACTGCTGGCTCTCAATTGCACTCGCTTTGTCAGCCTCGTCCACAATGCAGGTCTGTCGGCATACATCGACAATGACATCCGCGATCCAGATGGAGAGGGCACGAATGCCACCTGGACATTCATGGCTCCTCGCGACGATGTGCTGGATGAGTGGATCGAGCGCGGTGCCCCGACCGACGGCAGCAGTGGCGCGGTGGACGCTGAGTACGCTGAGCAGCGGTGGGGAGTGCCCAGCCACTTGGCTACATTGCATCTCGACGAAGACCATGTACTACAAGCCGGGATCAACGGGACGAAGCTGGAAGAACTGTTGCGTTACCATATCGCCCCTGGACGACTGACGCCGAAATCTTTGCAAGACGGAATGCTCATCGGAACCGAGCTTCGAGATTGGAAGCTCAAGTTCGGAAGACAACGCGTCGCTGTCGAAGTAGCCGAAGATCCGCGTCAAGAGAAGGATCGTCAAGGCAACGGTGATGTGGCGTTTGGCGACGCGAATGTCATTGCGAAGCCGGTCGAGGTAGGAGGCAGTATCATCTACCTCATCTCGCAGCTGCTCCAAGTTCCGCTCAATCCGATTCAAACGGCCGTCTCATCCTTGACTCTGTCGACATTCGTCGCAACCGTATTCAGCGCCGAGTTGGACAAGCCCATCAAGAGAGCTCCAGGGATCACTTATTTTGTGCCTCACAACGACGCCTTTTCTGCCCTCGGCTTGGCCATGAACTACCTCTTGCTTCCGCGTGAGGGACCTCGCGCAGAATTGCGCTCGGTGGTCGAATATCACGCTGTGGACCGAGTCGTCTACGTGCAGGATTTCGTGAAAGGGGCAAAGAAGTATCCCACGCTTGAAGGTAGCCCTATCTGGGCCGGACAGTCGGAGAATGGCACCATTGAGCTTCGACGAGGGACGGAAGGTCGCGATGCGAGGGTGCTGCAGGGTGACCTTCTCACAAGCACTGGCGTCTTGCACGAGATCGACCAAGTCGAGCTACCTCCCACGCTAGACCTGACGATTCGCAAGCTGATGACAGGTGCCAAAGCGCAGACGATGATGAGTCTCATTGAAGAAGCCGGCTACGGCTGGATACTCAACGGCACAGCCCCGACAAGCCCTGAAGCAGCTGCAGAACTCGAACGCAACTCTGCTGCTGTGCAAGGAAATGGGGGCAAGAAAGGAGAACGCAAGCGTCATCGCAAGCGACACAACCTCTTCGCTGATGGTGGCCAATCTTATGTGGTGCTTGTCCCGACTGACGCAGCATTTGCCAGAGTCAATTTGACCTACTACTTGGAAGACCGCGAAGCCTTGAGGGAGCTTGTGCAACTGCACATCATCCCCTCTCCTGCGGACGTCATGCTGCCAGGAGGAACATCAGACCGACTACCAATCGCGCTAAGCAACGACTTTGGCTTTACGTCTTTGCTCGATCGGAGTCTCGGTGGAGCTAGCAGGTACGGCAAGCTAGGCTTCAGGAAGGAAAAGCACGCAGAGAAGAATGATGATGGCGGTGCTCCGGATCTGAACAAGGGTCTAGGTTGGGTCGTGGGTGTGCAAGGCTCGCGCGGCAATGACCATAGACAGCATTCTGCCAATGTCCTCAGCTTTGGCAGAGAGTCCTTGTCATCCACCAGAGCGGATGCTGATTCGGCTCAAGAAAATGATAGGGGCAAGGGCTTGTTGAGCAAGAGAAGAGGACGAAGCCGTCTGCCTACGCCCATCGATGGACAGGAGGCATGGAACTCTCGCAGCATTGGCGGAGTCCTCACTCTCGACGCTGTACTGCAACCTTACGAGCCTGGGTGGTTCTACAGTTGTAAGTGAACATTTGCTCGGCCTGGTCCCTCGAACTTCCTTGTCTCACGCTGCGGAGCAACTTTTGCACCACGACAGGGGGCTGGATCGTGCTTACCGTCATCATGGTGGGCTGTGTTCTGACTGGGATGGGGTTCGGACTGTGGAGATGGTGGCATCGTGACGGTCGTATTCGCTTACCCGACGCTCTTGAGGGTTAGTATGTGCGACTTGGTTGCGACGCCCGTGTGAAGGCTGACAATCCAGCCCTTATCGATGCGATCCACAGGCGAAGAAGATTGAGTCGGCAGGAAGCAAGCCGCTTGGGCTCCAGTGTGCAAATGTCTTGTTCCGATTCCAACTTTCACTACACAATGTACAGTATTCGAACTCCCTCGCTATTTCAACATCACATTAAATGTAATTGACTCCGCATCTCATCAGCGAATCACGCACGCATTTTGCGTGCCAAGATGCATCGGCCCAGCACTCAGAGGTCACTATAGGGGCACGATGTCAAAGTCTACCAGGAATGTTATTGCGTGAGCGGTCTGCCGAATCCTAGGTGGAAGCAGTGGCTCTTGCAAGTTGCTCATCAACTGAGCGAGTCTACCTCGTTGTTGTAATCCAGCTCCATACCCACATCGTCTCCGCCGCCATCACCAGCACTGGCATCTTTCAAAATGGCCAGCGCATCATCCCAGAGATCTTGTTGTCCCCAAACACCCACCACTGCCGCCACGACGCACCAAGCACCCTCTTCCCCTTCCATCCGCTGCTGCTCTTCTTCCCTTGTGCCTGCGACTGCGAGTGATGCTGATTTTTGCCGCTTGGCTTTTGCTGCGCGCTTAGCTCGATGAAGAGCAACAGCTGCGATACAAGCCCTTGCCAACGTTCGCAGAATGCTGATCTCGTCCGAAGTGAGCCTGTGGTCGAGGAATGCCAGAAGAGAGAAGATCCATTTGGCATAGAGCTGATGAAGTGCTTGAGGCGCGTTCACGCTGGAAACGTCTTCGTTCGATGCGTTGGCGGTGAGAGGTAAATTGAACCAGTATGGGAAAATGGTCAACAGTTGCAGAATGTGATACTGCGTTGTCGCACACGACGAGTCAAAGCAATGGGCGTAAATGGCGCGACAAAATGTTTTCCCGAGTGACAAAGTGAGCTCACCGACTGAAGTCGCTTCATTAATGAAGCGCTAGGTTCTCTGGGCAGGATGTGCCCTCCGACGTCGTCGATTCCATTTGAGTATCTCCTGGTGGGGTCCAGTCGGGTCTGCGCTTGCTCTCTCTGCCTTTGACTCTCGTGCGTGGCATAATTGCTAGCTTCCCAATCATCCCCGTCCACCTCTATGCGCACGCCATTGGGTATCGCTCGTCGGTGCACAAATTCGTACCATTGATCCACCCGGCCCTTCTGCGGCAACTTGCCAAAATTGGGATTGGTGATGGGTCGCGTCGGCGTGGTCGAGACCGCCTTTTGGCGGAAAGCGGCGGACGGAAGGTGCAGACTCAGCATAGAGCACAAAGCGGACATGGTGAGACGCTTGACCTTTGAAAGCAGCCTAGACACTCACTTCTCGTAGCGCTTTGAAGCGATCTATGTAAGTTGCACGCCATCGCGTCGAGGGAATAGCAGGATTCGACGTGATTTCAGACGTCTGGACCCTGACGTCCAGATCTTGTGGTGAAGACAAGAGCTCTTTCGGAGGTGCAGGCCCTGCGACTTGCTTGCTGAACTCATTCTGGCGCTTACCGCCTGCTCTTCCGTGCTGTTCGGCTTCTCGCCTGACCACGGCCAAGTACTGCTCGCCGTCCGTGGGCACGCCGTCAAAATCTGCAGAGAGGTCACCCACTGGCAAAGCTTGATGACCGAACTCTCCTCCACGCCCTTCCCAATGAGCATCATCATTGTTCTCTCGCAATTCCGCATCTTCATCTTCATCATCTTCCCAGAATGCAGAGCTCGCCTTGCCTCCCAGGTGCTTGGGCTTGCCAGCGGAGGAAGTTGCAGAAGAGCTGGGATTAAAGTCCTCCTCTCTGCGTTGCCTTTTCATCACTCGAGCGCACATTTCCCCAATACGAGCCGAATGAGGGGCGTGGGCGCGATGACGACGGGTACGGTGCGCTTGGACTGCAAGGTGTGGTGGATGGTGAACAAATGCTGAGCTCGAATTGAATAAGAGGCCGTACTCGAGAAGAAAATCGCTGAGGTGGATGGGGACAAGCAACTGAATACACACAAGCAGCACACACAGCATTCAACGTAAGCATTCACGAATCAGCACAGCTACTCACCACTGTGACGGTGACTGTGACTGTGACTGTGACTGTGACTGTGACTGTGACTGTGACTGTGACTGTGACTGTGTATGTGTACCCGTATGTGCACAAGGGCCGATCGGATGCTGGTAAGCAAAATCGTGAATAAGTAATTGAATCAGAATAGTGAATTGTGCAGCAGCAGCAGCAGCAGCAGCACGCGATGAAGCGCGACGCGTGCTCATCCAATTTCACAGCCGCCGCCGCATTTTTGTCATCAATCAGTGCGAGTAGCGTGAACATCGCATGGCGCGCAGCATTCAAGATTCTGATTGTTACGTCTTTGTCCACACTTCCTGTCTCTGTACAACGACAACCACCAATCGGCATCCATTTGCTACAAATCAGGTCTCTCATTTCGCTCCAGCGAGCATCCTCGGCTACGGCTACGAAGCGCACAAGACGTGTACGACAGCGTCGGAACCCGCCTCCTGTGCCCTCACTCGATGCCTCTCAACTTTGCCTCCGCCTCCGCCTCCACCTCTGCCGCGCCGAGATGGGATCTCAACGCTGCCGACGATCCAGCAGATTGGGAGGATGACTTTTCCTATCTCAAGCCTCTGGATGCCGCTTTGCGGTGCGAGCTTTGCTTTGTGAGCACTTTCACGAGTGCTCACGTCTCTTGACGAGCTCCGCGTCGGGACGGAGTCCATTCGTTTCGCACAATCGCGACAGGTGGCGGTGTACCTTGCGGCTGGGAACAATGCTCTGGCACGTATGCTGACCCACGAACGCCTCGCTCGCTGTGCGCAGGATGTTTTCAGAGCTCCCGTCTCGTTGCGCTGCGGCCACACGTTTTGCTCGACATGCGTGCGCAACGCCATCAATCAAGGTGGCGCAGGAGGACAGGAATGCCCAAAGTGCAGAGCAAAGGCGCAGGACTCTCATCTGACACCACAGATTGCCCTCGAGACGGCGGCCGAAGCTTGGAGGGATGCTAGGTAAGCTTTGCTGATTGGGCACGATTGGTGGATCAGCGACGTGCATCTGACTCTCCCCTCATACTAGGGCGCGGCTTTACGACTTGCAGACCGCACGCAAAGCCGCTGCAGAAGAAGCCAAGTCAGGACCTGCTCCGCCTCGCGGCCTCAAACGCAAAGCGAGCGAAGAGCCGAATACGTCTACCTCGAGTTCTCCGACCGCTCTCTCACCACCCAACAGCTCCCTGCGTCAGACGAGATCATCATCACGAAGGCAAGAGACGAATCCTGCTGGTCCATCCTCCAAGCCAGAGTACGTCGTCGTCTCCGATGACGATGACGGGGACGTGTCTTATGTGCCCTCGAATCACGCATCACCCAGCAAGCGTGGCAGTTCTTCGCAGAAGTCCCCGGCTAAAGCCCCTCCTGAAGCTGACGCCAGTGAGAGGGTGCAGTGTCCTTTGTGCACTCACACTTTCACGCTCGCTGCCCTGAATCGTCACTTGGATCGAGGAGTACCTTGCTCGCCAGACGATCCGCCTCCTGTTGCAGCTGAAAGTGGTCTTGCAACGCCAAGAAGCACGATGAGCACGGGCTGGTTCACTGCCAAGGCACAGGGCAATGGCGCCAGCATTCCCAAGGGAGCCAAGCTCGTCCGCCCTCCCTACGTCTCCCTCAGGGAAAAGCAGATCCGGGAGTTGCTGATGGAACACAGGCTAAGCATTGCGGGAAGCAAGGAAAGAAGGATAGAGAGACATCGGCATTGGGTCAATATTTACAACGCCAATTTGGACGCTTCCGAAAGGAATAGAAGGACTGTAGCACAGTTGAGGAGGGAGATGGAGGAGTGGGACAAGGGACAGGACGATGCGGAGCGACAGAAAGCGCGAGGCGGTGCCATCTCGGAGAAGCGAGCCAAGGATTGGGCGGTGAGTGAGACATGCAAGTGCGACTGCTGATGCGAAGAATTGCGAACTCTTGTTGATTATGGGCTGTCTACGGCTGCAGGGTCACCACAATGCTCAGTTTTCCGAGCTCACTGCAGCTGCGAGAGATTCTCACAGACGCAACAGAGAGGCGCATCGCTCCTCTAATCAGGTCGACTCTGAGAGCGGGCGACAACTCGACGCCCCCGTGCCAACCTTGGCACCGGGGGCCGACTCCTGTGCAGAGACCTCTGTATAGCAATGACATTCCTGTGGCATTGCGTGACAAAGCCAAGGGAAAGTCATGCCGATGCCGCACTTTCCAAAGTCTTGACGTCATGCTCTTGCCGGATCAGCTCAAAAGCGTGGTGCGTTGGACTATCATTTGAGCCTACAGCTTCATTGCCATTTGCCAATCGACTTTGGCTGCCTACGCTGTGGTCAAGATGGGAGAGTTACGGAGCATCGACATGCGGTAATCCTAAATCGATGTCCCACAGAATCGTCGATGAAGGTGCGCAAATCTTGAATGACTCTCTGACTTGCTAAAGGTATGCCGTCTATTCACCAGCGTCTGCGCACTCGCCTCAAGGCTTGCCAGTGTAGCGCTTGGATTTGGCCACGCATGGCTGATGATCGTGTCTATGTCACTATACATGTCTTCGTGTGGTTCCAAATGCTCGGTGTGTCGCGTGAGGATCGTCACGCTTGCTGTTCCCGACCAGCCGGGTCCATTTGTCGGCCGAGAGAAGGTGCGATGATGCGGGCGGGTGCCTTCACGTGATTCGTGATTTCGAGTCAGATTCTTGATTGACGATCGTGGATGTGCCCCAGCCCTAATCACGAATGCAGGCATTCGTGATTCTTGATTCTTGATTCAATGCCCCAAGCTCAAAGCCCAGCTGAAGGCTTGGTTGTACAGACATCCGCTCTACTGTGTCGCTCCTTGTTCCGCAATCCGACCGTACTTCTTGGGCCTGCTTCACGCTTCAACCCTCGCACGGCTACGGGCTGAAATCCAATTCTTCAAATTCTCGATTATCTGCGAACATCTCGATCAGACAGGTTGTCCGCTGCCGAGCTTCAAGGCAAACGGCTTTCATCACGTTGCGACACCATTCAGCAGGCACACGATTACACAGCTCTCGACACATTTGCTATCTCGATTCCCTGCAAGTTCTCTTTGTGCACCTCATGTCAAAGCCAGCGCTACCGGGTCAAGCCACCACGGCGAGCGGGATTGTAGAGAGTGGGCAAGAGCGGGTGATTCCTGGTAGCGTAAGGGCAGATGGCAGGTGAGTCGATAGATCGATGCGTGTGCCTTCTCTGGGATACCTGAGAGCTTCTCAAGGAGGCGCATCCAAGAGGATGACGGCAGCTGATTCTCGCCGCTGCGTGTCTCATGATCCGTAGCCAGCGGAAAGAACGCAAAGTGAGACCAGGCTTTACCCCTGCAGAAGACGTGGGCCGATTTAGGTCTAGCAGGCAGCAAGCAGCAGAGGCGCTCTCACGCCGGCCACCACCTGGCTCCGTTCCTGGCAGTCTGAATGCTGCCACCGGAGCAGCTGGGCAAAGTTTCGGGCTGTCAGCGGCAAGGAGCGCCAGGAGCGGGGCAGGTTCCAGCTCTACTGCTCCTGGCGCTGCAACGCGAGCGCAAGCGGCCAGCAAAGCGGACGAATCCACATCGTGGAGAAGCACGCGAAAGACGAGCGCGTCTCAGACACCTGATGCTTGGGACGACGACGATGATCGGCCAGCAGCGAAGACGATGTCTGGTGCACCAAATAAGGACACGCGGTTCAGTGCTGCAACTAGTGCCTCGGCGCTTTCAGAAGACTCTCGAAGGGCGCGAGCAGTGGCCAAGAAGCTTCGAGCGGCCGAAGCCCTTCAGAACAAACAGCAAGCGGGGCGAGAGAAGCTGTCGACAGAACAACGCGCGAAAGTGGATGGAATCGAAAGGCTGAGGCAGGAGTTGAAGGCTCTGGAAGTCAAGGATGAAGCGCGAAAAGGTGACGAACCGGAAAAGGAGTGATTTGTCGGTCTGCTCTGCTCGTCGCTGCCTGGGCTACGCAGGCGAAGCATGCTCGCGCCACCGGCGGGTCCCGAAGACGATCAGTTCGTCGCTTGAATCGACTCGACAGCCCGTCGCTATAGGATTGCGCATGTGATACTACCCCTGCGCTTCTTGAACCAAGAGCGGATGTGCGATTCCGGTCGTAGCTAGCGCAGGCTCAAGCACACAAATTGGACCGCTTCTTGCTGGAAATATCTGACACTGCGAGCGCCTGAAAGACTTTCCCCGTGGCCGACGCGGCGTCACGCAGCCGTTGGAGTTTGGGGTCACTCGTCATCGCTGGAGCTTACTGCAGCGAACCTGCCCATGCAATCCAATACCTGCAATCGTGACGCTCGACAAGGATTGTCGCAGGTGTTTTTGTGGTGGAGACTATTCTAGGTGTGCACGTCAAGAACGCTAGTTCGGGAATCTTCAGGGCGCTAAGTGCGGTTCACTGCATAAGGTTCGCCGTGCCATGTCAGGTGCGCGGATCACGCCGTTGCGAGCAGCTGGATGGAGTCTCGCTCGCACCAATCTCGACCGGACGCGCATTTCCTCCATCATGCACATTCAGCAAGGCCCTTCCTCAAGCGGGTGCTAGGGAGCCCTGGCCACGAAGCGTCGAGTCCAAAAAATGCTAAGACTAAAACGAGCAGCTAGCGCGAGCTGCCGCCTTGGCTCAGAATGGAAAGGCCGGGTGAGCTGCCTGCGAGGCAGATTCGCTTTGAGCGGTACGAGATGCGCAGAGACTGTACAGGCAAGTCCTCGGCATTTCTAAGAGCAATGCAAGAGCGCATTCGCATCACGAACGAACCTAGCGACATCTATGGCAAATAATGTTCCGTGCGTGCTATCTTACCACTCTCCGCTGGCAGTCTTTCCCATTCTCATCGATGTTGGAGCAGCCATGGCAACAGCAGCACGAGGTGGATGCGCCGAAAAGTGCGGGTGTTGGGTCGATCGAGATCGAGGCGAAGTCATTTCGGAAGCTATCCTCTATGCTTTCTCCGTGATCAGATTGAGCCTTGGCGGTACTACTTGATGCTGTGCAATCAAAGTTGTGGGGACCCTGTATAGCAACGGATGCTGTCTGTGCTGTGAACACCGCTTGCTCAGCTAGCTGCTGCTGCATGAGTAGAGACCCGCGCCAGTCGCAGCCGTGGCCAACAGCAAGCAGCACGGGACAGGGCTGCAAGCAAGCAAGCAAGCAAGCAAGCAAGCAGCAATGGAGCAAGGTGTCAATGCTGCGACACATGCAGCGAGATCAGACCGAGATGATGCGAGGCTAGCTCACTTTGTCACCCGTGTGCGTAAGCGAGGTTCGAAAACTGCAGCAGCAGAAAGCACGAGGGCGGGCTAAAGTTGTGGCTTGGGAGCGGTGCTGTCGCGCTAAAGCAAGAAGCGCCAAGACGCACGCCAAGCAAGCAAGCAAGCATGATGGAATCTCTCATCCGACTTTAAAATTTGACTGCTGCTGCGCCAGGCGACTTCGCTGCAGCTGTGCGCCCTCTTCGAGTCCCTAACCGCGGACGACCCCTCAGCAGTCACGAGTCGAGGATATATGCAGGGAAGATATTGGGGAGCAGGGCGCACGGTCAAGATGTGTGTGTGGCGTGTGCTAGCTGCTAGCTGCAAGCTCGCCGCCAAGACCTCGATCAGCTTTCATATCGCCCAAATGCGGGCACCGAACATCGCACCCACCGGCCTTTTTGTTGATGGGTGTCTCAAAGGGATCATCAGCTCAGCATCAGCCGGCCGCACCAGCCGCTGTGCCGCGGGTTGGAGGTGTTGCTATTCTGCTGTTGAAAGAGCAACGATGCTATCTATGCTTTTGCGCCGCCATGAGGGATCGCAGTCACGAGTGAGAATCAGGATTGGGTTGGGCGTCTCCGACACGCAGTCAGAGTCAGCTGAGCAACATGGGGGCGTACGTGCCAGAGGATGGTCTGTATAGGAATGAATTTGCGCCACAGTCATTTACGGTTTGCCACGGTCGTGAGTAGCAGTCGTGAGTGAGTCTCTCAGCTCCGAAGACCAAGCGTGCACTGCGCGCTACTTTCGTGCAATCCGTAAGCAGGTACCCGGGTGCAGGAGCCACTCAAAGACTTTGCAGGTCGCATACCGTGTATTGCATCCTCAAGCCCAGAAAAGTGCCGATGTGAGGGTCGTGCCAATTTACAGTAGCTCGTTGCCGAGTCAGCGCTAAGCAGTCCATTTTGCCGCGTTGGCGGAAGGGGGTGAGCAACATGTCTGCGAGGCCGTGTTCAGCGTCGAGCGTGTCCTTTTAGCTTGCGACACCAGATGCATCATCATCCGTCGGGCCCCGCTCGTGACGAGGTGAACGTGATAGCCATGACTTGCGAGCAGCATAGCGACGCACCCAAAAAGGTCGCCTCTGTGATCTCCACTTCCGCAAGCCGCGCAAGCCGCGCCAAAGAACAAAGATTCACGCATGTTATCAGGACGATCTCATCAGCTTCCTGAATCGACTTTGCGATGTTTCGGCGAATCGAAGAGATAAGATGCCCGCCACACCAGCGAGCAAAGTTGCGAGTCTGGAACAAGAAAATTGTCGGAACCTCACCTGCTGCTGCAAGCGCAAGGTCGCACCGCACCGCACCTCTTGCTGCTGACGACTTGCAGCTTCTTCCTGCTGCTGCTGCTGCTGCTGCATGTGGCTTCTCTTGCGTCACCGGCGTTTAGGTACGGTACACATGCAGTCGTGAGTTCGCAAGGTGCAGC